AGCCTATCTATGTAAGCATGAGCATCTTATTTTGCATGGAACTCTTTCTGAAGTGAATTATACCATTCCACATTCTTAAAAGAGCCTAGATATAATTTATTATTTTTTGCCAGTGCAGGGGCATGGTTAGCGAGCTATGAAGCAACACAGAGAGGCCCTCAGGAGCGATAGACGTGTACAGGGCCCTGACACTAAGTGCAACCAAATGTTACAACTTTTGAATTCCAGCTCCAGGTTTTATTATGTTTCTATCTCCTCCTCCCTTGCTTTCATTTTATCAGTTGTCACTTCTTGACCATCGCAGTACACAAGCCTGGAAAAATCACTTTCCAACCTCCCAACTTGTGCTTCTAGTCTGCTGTGGATGGAAAACGGGTAATAGGGCCCATGAAGACACCACAGGAAGAAGTTAAAAGGCTCTGATTAAAGGCCAAAAGGTCTTTGTCGTCATGAGGCTTAACTTGATGGACTGGGTGACATTTTGTAGGCTGCTCAGATTGTTTTCTTTTATTTTTGTTTTCTTTCTTTTTTAGTTCTGAGTTACATTCCAAAATGATAAATCTATCAAATAGGTGTGGTCAGGGTAAGTGAACCAAGTATATATTTACTTCCATGGTTTTTTATACCATATCTAACTATAGATATGCACAATTTTTAAATTATTTCCAGCATGTTAGAAAATATTTTTAGAAGTATTAAATCACGCTAAGTACACTCCTGCACACAGCTCCTGAAATACATTAAGACAATGGTGTCTTTCAGACTAATAGCAGCCTGTAAAGACTGGGGCTCTTTTTTACAATACATCATTGGAGGTAAACTATACAACTTTCTCTTTCCGTAAGCAACTCTTATTAATGCTCATTGTACCCTAGCTTTTTCTGCTGGGCTACACAGAAATCAGTTTCAACCATATGTTGGTATCACCTCGCTCTGCCTTCTTTCATGAAGTGACCTGCAAACTACTTCTGGCCTCTAGTTTTACCTACTGGAAGCCCTTCCGACTCCCACCCTACCATATATTACTGGTTTTCTATCAGGAAAGATAATTTTCTGGAAATTTCCTACTGATCCTTCAAGACCTAGTTAAAGCATCACCCCATCTCTGAAGCCTTCCCGGACTTACGCAGGACATACCTAAATTTGCCTTCCTTTGTGTTCTTATTAAACCTTACCAAGAGGAAAAGAATATGGGTGGGGAAACGCTGCTATTCCAAGCAAAGTGTTCTGTATGATAAAACCATCAAGGGCATTTAAAAGTCTCCAGCATATTTGGGAAACACCAGGTTTAGCATGGCTAAAACGTATGGTACATTTGGGAGAGTGACAGTCTCTAAGGCCAGAATGTTAGGTTGGGACCACACTGAAAAAGGTCATTCATCATGATTAGGCTGTTCACTTTTATCAAGCAATGCATCGTGAGTATAGGTCTCTAGGAATGTTAGAATCAGATTTATTTTTTAAGGATAATTGACAACAGTATAAAACATCTGTCTGGAGGGGAAGAATACAGCATTTGGGGGTACTAAATAGAAAACTGTTGGAATAATATTGCTGGAAGAAGATAAAGGCAGTGGGGATAGAGAGACTGGGATTCATTCAGTCTCCTGTAAGACTTATTAATTGGATGCAGGGAATAAAGAAGAATGAAGTGTTGAGGGAAACTAAAGATTAGGCAGAAGATGATAACTCTATAACTAAACTGAGAAAGACAGAAAGAAGAGTAGACAGACTTCTTTTGGGGGGGAGTCATGTTAAGGGAAAGAGAAAATAAGCTCATTTTACTAAGAGGAGGTACTCTGGAGCCAGGTACCCTGGGACCTAATCTGGGATTCACCTCCTATTGACTATGTGACCCTGGAAAAGTTATCTAACCTCTGAATCTCAGTTTACTCTTTTATAAAATGGGGATACTACTATCTCTCTCAAAAAAATTGCTGTGAGGTTTAAAATGAGGTAACATATGTAAAGTTATTAGAACATTGGCACATGGCTTATAAATGCTATTTTTAATTTTGTGTTTCATGATGCCTACAAAATATCCAGTTCACTATTTGGTCAGGTAGGTTTGAAAAGAGAGAGATGTGAGCTGGACTTATAAATCTAGGGAATCACTGGAACAGAGTTGGATGTTAAAGCTGGAGAAGCAGTTGAGTATTCATGTGGAGAATAAAATATGTATGTGTGAATATATACATGTGTATGAGTGCTTATGTGTGTATGTGTATGTACATATAAAAATGATGACAGAATAGAACTAAGACTGGAATACAGAGAATAAAATATCCAAGAAGTAAGAAGAAACACAGGAGGAAGACAGAAAAAGAACAGTCAGAAGTGGTCAGAGAGCAAGAAGAGAATGGTGTCTGAAAAGCCAAAGGCAGAAAATTTTCAAGGAGGAAGCAATCAATAGAGCCAAGTGATCAGGATTGAAAGAGGCCATTGGATTTTGAAATTCGAGGATCACTGTCAACCTGTTTAAGAACTATGAAAAAATTGAGTTGTGAAAGGTAATTTAGGAAACAGAGAAAACAAGTATGGATGATTCTTTTAGAGACAGATAGAAAATGAAAAAGGAAGATGAAAGGCTCCTTGGAAGGAGAAGTAGGATCAGAAGAAGGTGCTTTAGTGAGGAGGAGACTTGAGAATGCTGCTCGGCTGAACGGAAGTCAATGAAGAGAACAATGAAGATACAGGATTTATTGTCTATTTCTTGAACTACTGAAGATAATGTAACTCCTATCACAGGTACAACCTTCACTGTACAGATGAGCTAGAAAATCTCTGTGAGAAGTTAATAACCTGTTTTTAAATCAAAAACAAAAAACGAAGAAGAAGGTATATAGTTGTTATTTTAAAATGTAATTAGTCCTGTATTTTAACAGAATTACTTCCTGAGACTGTAATAACATTTTGAGAAGTCTCAGGATACTGCAGAAATAGGAAAGTAATTCTGGTAAAATACGGCACTAATTATATTTTTAAACAACAGATTTAAACTGGTGTTTTTCACTCGGTACTCTGCATATATTTTTGAACTTTTAGGTATTTTTTTCATTCACATGAAAGAATCCAAATAAACAAACCCACTTCACAATTCTTGGGAGAGTAATAGGCTCTGTATGTAACAAATTACTAATTTTTGTACCTCATTAAAATAGGAAATTTCAAATTGTGATTTGCATATGTTTGCATCTATAATCAGTATTCAATAGTTTCTTGAATACCTAGCAAGATTCCTATGATTCCTTCCATATGCTACTTGTTAACAACTTGCCACTTTATCATTGCATGCAGTCCAGCCTCCTGAAGACTAGCAAATGTCATTCCCGTCTCATTGTTTGGGCTGAACTACTCGTCATAGTGGAAGTGTCACTTTAAAGGTCAGACAATGCAATATACAAATGTTGGTTGGCATCACAGAGACCTGGTTTCAAATCATAGTCTGCCTCTCAACAGCTGTGTGACTTTGAGTGAGTGATTTGAGTGAGTACTGAAAACCCTCAATACAGATAAAACATTTAATTTCTCCTAAACAAACTTTTGCAAGACAAGTACGAACTCCCACATATGGCTGAAGCTCAAAGAAATTTAGTTAGGTAAGCCCAACCACAGGAGCAAGAGCAAAGATTTCAAGAAGTCATCTAAAAAAGCTTTCAAACCTTTCAGTAAAAGTATTAAATTTTATTGAGGTAAATTGTATAAGAAGAAGTGTATTATAAAAAGGAAAACACTGAAAGGAAATACCCAAAGTATTAAAAAATGTGATACACTGGAAAGGCTCACCATAAAAGTTTATCCAAAATGTTCATCATAGTTGGAGTAGAAGTAACAATTAACAAATCCTCAAATATTTGGAAACACACTATAGTTTTATAACACCATTGTATTCTCTTTGAACAAGCCAATTTATCTATCTGCTATAGTTTGAAACTGGCAAAAACAGTTATCAACACTTCCTAATACAATTAAAAAGGAGAAAAGAAACTCTTTTATATCAGATAATAAATTATAATCTTTCTTATCTATGCTAAAAATTTGATAAAATTAAATGTGGAACCATCTTCTCTTTGTTGAACGACACTAGAGGTTTTTAAAAGGTATTTCAGAAAGCATTTTCCATGGTATATAAAATGGTAAACGCTGCCTAAAAGAAACTAATGGGCATCATAGACCAACAAACCTGGCGTCAAATTTGACTGTGTTACTTACAAGCTATTGTACCTTAGACATATTATTTAATCTCACTTACCCTAGTTGTCTCAAAAGCAAAATGGAGACAATAAGAGTACTTCATAGCTAGGTTGTTGTGAGAAATAAATCATATAACATATGGAAATTAAAATGTTTCGTCCAGGATCTCACACCATAAGCACGGTCAATAAGTAAGAGTTCTCATCACCAAAGAACAAAGTTACCTTTCATAACATGGGTCATTTCCTGAAACCATCTAAGAAAAGAGAGTGAATTTTGTAATTTTCTAAAGAAGACTTGTAGGCCGGGTCTATAGAGGGCTAGCAGATAGACCCTAACTTAGAGTTGCAATTCAACCCCCTCTATGCTGGTGAGTCAAAAGTCTGAATGTTGTGCGAATGGCACAAAAATGTGTGTTTTGTTTTCTTAAATTTCTACAACAAACCCACGCAGCCTTCATTGACACTTGTTAGGATAATGGCATTGGCTGAACTGCTTGTCCTCTTGCCCTACCGCTAAAGCTTTAACTTCCGTGGCTTATTACACTAATTACTAAATTTCTACCCAAATATTAATGACAATCATGATCATCAGATTTATAATAATACAAAGTTCTTTTCCTAATTTTAAGCAAACTGTCCTCTCCACAGACAAAACTTCTAGCTTTTATGAATGACCAAGCAACAGGAAGAATTGCATTTTTACGTTCCATTCTATTTAAATGTTAGTTAAGATGAAGTTGGTGTCATACAAAATGAGCACCTTAAATATAACCCTGGAAGCAATTTAAGACAAAACTAACTCACCTGTAATTGCAAAGCTTCATGGTTTTCTAATCCTTCCACAATTGGTGAAAATCGTTCTCTGTTGTTTCGTTCTGCTGCTGTAGTGATAGCCCCTAAAAGCTTTTCTAGACTATAGGGGAAAAAAAAATAGAAACGAGAAATACATCTTAACACACAGTATGTGAAAATGAGTTCTCTCTTTCAGTCTTCCTGTTTTCTTTCTGGTGCTGGATGTTTATATAGACCATTACAATTTAATAATTGTGTTCTTGTCCACATATTTCTACAAGTCAAATATTGATAGCGTTAAATAATTTTAGGGCATCAAAATGAAAATTCAATTTGAAAATCTTGAGGAAAATAATTTTTCTGGGTGACATTTTTAAATAGATACTTGATTGAGAAACATTAATAATTTTAAACTCAGGTTTTGATATTTCATGTGTTACCATAGATATTAATGTCACTTAAACCTGATGTGGCATCTATAATCATTAAAAGTTTATTCAAGTGTAAATAGACCGTAATTTTATAATAAAATGCTGAAGAGGAAATATTTCTTAAAGAACTTCAAAAAAAATCAAGATTCTTTGAAAATGGAACAAGAATAAAGACCTAAAAGAACAAGTCCAGTAAATTAGAGAAACATCTATAATTACCTAGCACAAGAAACTTATTTACCTGGACAGAAATATTGGAAACTATCTCTGTACAGTATCTGAATCAAATTAACCTCTATGTAGTATACTACCCATAGCACACTATATCTGAAATTATAATTAACTCATAAAATATACCAGGGTAGGTTGCACTATATGAATTAAGTATTGAAAACCTAATTGACTAGAAAAATATTTCTTATTCATGTATCAACTGATTTTTCTATAAAACTGAAGGAAGCCTTACGTTTGCATGCTACCTCATTCTCAGTTTACGTTCACTGAGATATGACTTAATGCTATGTGATAATATTTTTGTTTAGTGTTTGTCTTTTGGTTTCAAAGGACTAACCAGCACGAAGCAACATCTCATTTTATCCCAAGAGGTATGAGAAAATCAACATATTAGAATATTCTTAAATCTTTGGCTCTGTTCTGATTCAAACAGAAATGATTACTGTCATACAGAGTGTTCAGAAAAAATATTTAAGTTAACGTCCTTAGCCAATATTTCATTCTTTATCACGATGGTTTCTAACCAACTAGACAGCAAATCTGAAATTTTGCTTCTGATTCAAAACTATTTCTATAAGAAGAAATTATCTAATGCATGGTCAGCAACAACTTGCTGAAATTAGCATGTAAGTGCACTCTGAATAATTACCAACAGTCTTTTTGTTCTGTTTAACCAGTTAATTTCATTCTATGAATAATTGCTTCATCTTTTCACTTACCATAGGCAGATAAAATAAAATACTACCTTAAAATAATAGTACAAAATAAAAGAACCCAGTTAATTCAGTTAAAGAAGTCAAATTTTGTGACATGCATGTGTGCAGGGGGTGTTGTACTGGGGGGGTGTGCGTGTGTGTGTGTGTTTAGCTAAAATTACTAACTGATCTTTTCACACTTCTAATGACTGCTTTCCCTTCAGCTATACAAAATTCTATTCATTCACTTTGAATATCCAACTTTGAAGAATTTTCAATTAGGATTCTATCTTTTTCAAAGAATCAAAAAAATGCTAAAATGTAAATAGATAAGATAAAAATACCAATTTTTTCTAAAATTTAATACTATTTTCATGCAGGTTTTCAAAAGAAACAGCACAAAAGTAGGACTTGTTAATTTCTCAACTGTTACTCTCTATGCAGTTAATATAGTAATGTAGCAATACTTACATGTTCTCTTCTCCAACGATGCAAATAGCAGAAAGTATTTTTACTATTTCAGTCATCATGTTGGGCTGTTTGGGGTCAATTGCTCTTGCCAGTAGTAAAAGACTTCTTTCGTCTCCCAGAATCCTTTGCAATCCAAACTGAAAAAAGCAAACTTTCATTCAAAATGTCTTCGGAATACATCTTCAATTTTAAAAAGCAACTTAACAATGATTTTTTAAAAACCCATGCCTCTGCATGAGGTTCTACTTGATTATATGGCTGTTCTTCAAATGCAGTTCTTTGTCTTTGTTTTTTATTTGAAATGACTGCATCTTGAAGTTTTTGCCCCTTGATCAGACATGATCTCCATTAGACTGCCTAAAAATTCCATTAAAATGTGGGAGAAATATGGGAACAATCAGTATTTCTTCAACAAAGAACACATAAAGCACTAATATGATTTTCTGAAGTAGTTCTACATATATCATTGGGTCTACCTAGAGATACCTGGAACTCATGGTCAAATTTTCCAACATGTATGGAAAATTAAGCTGAACAAAAGGCGTAAAATGTTTAAAAGCTCTTTTGTATACTGCATGCCAATTAAAGAAGCAGTAAACCTCCATATGGGTTTTCCCATACTGTCTCTCTCTTATCCTCCCCCTTTCAAGCAGCTATGCTGCATAACAGAAGCCATGAACCCAAAGAGATGGCACCTGGGTTTTAGTAAGTGTCACAGTCAGCTAGGCAGAGAAGATAGACACCATTTTCATTTATTTACTAGGCTTGAATATATGCACGCCAGTGTACATCATAAGAAAGAATGGGTAAAGAAATGTCAAAGAAAGCCCAAAACTTGGGTTTTCGCTACATTAAGAAGGTAATATTTTCTTTGAACATTGTCCTGCAAAGTATTTCTCAGATTTCTTATGAAATATGTTTGCTTCTTTTTACAGTCTAATGGTGAAATCTGACAATATTTCATCAGCGCAAAATTGCCATTACAAGCTAACCTTTAGTTAAGTACCAAACGTTTGAATATTTTCATAGTTCCTAATTTATCTTTTAAAAGAATTCAGGAGAAAAAAAAACATAACCAAAGCTCTTAAATATAACTTTACCAGAGATCATAATAAAGAAAAATAGAGACAAGACCAAAAAAAAAAAAAAAAAAAAGGAAATGGAAAAGATGAGATTAAAAAGAAGCAAACAAAACAGAAGAAATATGTATGTATAAAGGCGGCTACTAGATAATAATAGTAAGGAAAATAAGTGAAAAAGACATGAGGAAAACTGAGAGATATGTGGTTACCATTCAGCTACCAAGCTTAATAGCTTTAGAAGTTTTTAAACTTTTAAAACAGACTGAGAGGAAAATCATTTAATTTTTCAAATTTCCATTTTATTGTTTAAAAGTAGTTTCTAATATGAAGGGACATACTGAAAATAAAAATGAACATATGAGAAATGATGGAAAACCATCAATCTAAACAACAGAGCAATATTACAGCAACGGAAGTGAGGGAGCAATGAGTTACTTTTTATGATCCTATTATTAGATGCATTGTATGAGTGATAACAGTTTTTGAATTAGGTAATCAAAACTCCTACAGGCCAGCAAAGTTGATGTATATACCATTTCAGGTGAAAGTTTCATTCTTTGATTATGATAATTTATTCCAACATGAAATGGATATATCATGGTATATTTTTTTTATTTTCAATGTGTACTTTCTGCCAATTGTTTCACATGTCTATAATTTAAGAGACTCACCATTTATTCATATTCGGAGTACCTGTGTGCAAGACATTAACATTCTCTAAAGCTTAACCTTAGTTTAGAACAATCTAAGTCAAACCATCATGGCTCTATAGGAAATCTAATATGACTTTGTCTAGTAATTATACTGATTACAGTTATTTCCTGGAAAGCTTTAAGAGTTGACAACGCGCACCCGTAAGAATTTTGATCAGAGTCCTACAGCTAATTTTACAGATGAGGAGACTGATTGCCAGAGAGGTCAAATGATTTTCTAAAGACCACATAACTTAGTGGCAAAGTATGGACCATCTATCTCCTGGTATCTAATACTGTGGTGTCTTTCCATTATTTGTTTCCCTCAACTGAAGAAAGAGATCCATCTCAAACTGTGGAGAAGCAATGTTAATTAACTGCTTTCTTGTTACATATCAGACTCTGTGTAACTTCGTCACCACAGACTAAGAGTGCAGAAGTTGAGAAATTCTGTACTAGTACTGATGGAAATCTCTCCGGAAGAAACTTTCAGGAACAGCACAATTAGCACATTCTATACAGGAGTCTCATGTCAACTGGCAAGCAACTATCTATTCCACATGCCAAAAATCTCTTTGCTGATAGATGTGTGCAATATATATATATAGATATATATGCACACACATACACACATACATATATATACACACTTATATACAGTCCTATACACTTAAAGACTGTTGGCAGATTACTTAAGTAGACAGTCTTACTGCATTGGTTATTAATAGCTTTATTTCACATCTGGCAAGTTTTTGGTTATTGTTATAATTATTTATTTTTATTAAATATTTTGAGATTATTGAAACACCATCTATAGGGAATTATGTAATTAGTTAATTAGTCACTAGTATTTTACCTATAGGAATATAAGGCAAATCATGTATAAGAATGTAACAAAATAGTTTATAGAAAAAATGACTATAATTTCATAACCTGAGCCAAGACTACTTTTAGAAGAAAAACCCGGGGGAAGGGTATAGTTCAGTGGTAGAGTGCGTGCTTAACCCAGTACCGCCATTAAATAAAATACATACATACATACATAAATATCTAATTACCTTCCCCCATCAAAAAAAAAAAAGGAAGAAGAAAAACCCTTGTCTGGAATTCACAGAATCCCTCATAACACAACTGGTAACAAACATACACAAAAAAACCCTGCTATCTTCCAGAAATGTCTTTTATGTATGTTAACTCACTGACATTCACTGAACGTAAAAGAAAGAAAAAGCTTAAGCTTACCGTGCTCGTAGCAAAAAAAAAAAAAAAAAAAAATCAAACTATAGCTTTGAATTTTCCTTTTCAATAGAATAAAAACTCTCTGTAAGAAAATGGTATTTTACTTATCACATTTAAATTTTCCTACTACCATGAAAGGAAAATAGTATTATATGATTTGGAAACAAGACTTAACATGTTTGCAATGATTGCAAAAACCTGCCAGTAAATATTTTGTGAAGCAAAGTCTATTTTAAATAATATGTAAATGAAACTCATGATGATTTGCATTAGAAAGACCCTTTGGTAAACTGAATAAGCACCCACTATTTGGCCTGTTTCATACTTTCACATTGTCTGTCGGGCAAGTTCTCATCTTTTGTGACAGACGCAGAAATAAATACTACTTACCTTATTATTCATAAATGCTTTGAGGCACTGAATAAGTTTATACTGATTCTTCTTATCGATATTCTCTTGCCTGAATAAAAGAAAAAAATGCATTATGTTGTGCTTAAAATTTTCCCCTGTGGTGATTTTTTATTTTCCTGTTTATTCTTACTGTTTCTTGTCCAGAAGCTTTTCCAGCATATCCAACAACAGTCCAAGACCTTCATGGCCAAAGTTGTTAACCCAGCTAGTTAAAAAAAAAAAAGTATAAATCAGTTTGTATATTTAAAACATTCAATATCCAAAATTGAATTTTGATTTTCAAATCTGATAATCCTGTCTTTTTATTGCTTGTCATTCTTTTTTCTACTCCCATTGCTGGTACTGACTGAATGAGGATGACTCAGAGATCTTTACCTCAGTTCCAGACTTCTCACAATTTAGACTGCCCATTCCACAGCACTGCCTTGGTTGTTTCACCAGCATCAAATATCTTAGCCTCAATTTATAAGCCAAATTTGTCTTCTCCTGTGTCTCTGTTCCCTGAAATCAACTCCTCTTATACTCTTCCATGTTGTTAAAAACACCACTATCTTTTGAATCTTTCAGACTTGAAATATTGGCATAATTTCCTGATCCCCCATCTCTTTCAACTTTCCATTTATTCTGCTCATCCATTCAACAAATATTTATTGAGTGCCCACTACCTATCAGACATGGTCTAGGTGGTAGAAATAGAACAGGCAATAAACGAAGTGCCTACCCTCACGTAGGTTACCATCTAGAAAAAGGGAGATGAATGATAAACAAGTAACTCTATCATAAAATGTCAGTGTTTTAGTACTAGGAAGAAAAATGAACCAAGGTAAAGAGAATAAGGAGAGCCAGGATGTTATTTTTTAATGTGCCGTCAGGGAAAGAGTCTTTGATAGGGTGATATCGGAGTAGAGCCTTGAAGAAGTGAGGACTTTCCCAGTAGAGGGGATAAGGCAAATAGGGTACTGAGGTGGTAGCTAGTGTGCTTGGAATATCTCAGGAACTGTGAGGAGACCTGTGTGGTTAGAGGTGAATAAGCAGGCCTGGAAGAAGACAGGAGATGAAATCCCATGTGTGACAGAAGACTCGAAGGCTGATCACAGAGAGCTTGATTTGACTTACTGTCATCCAGTCATGACTAGTCTGCTTCTAGAATGACTACAATGACTCTCTTTCATTGTCCCTTCTACCATTCCAGTTGAGCCCTAGTTACCTTTCCTTTAATATGCCTGAAGTCTACCAACTAGGGTCCTGCAGCTTTATTCGTTTCTTTCCTTCATTTTACAAAATGCCAGGTTAGATTGCTCTTAACCCAGTCTTCTGTCCAAAAATTTCCTCTGGACTACCTAACACAGTTCAAGTCCTGATTCCGATTTAGCCTCAACCTACCTTTCTCAGCCCTTATACCACAGGTTCCAATAAAAATCAGACATATTCTCTTTCTTGGAGTCTTCCCTGCATTTCCCTGCTTTACCTCATTATTTATTCTTTCTTTCCAGAAGGTAAACTCCAACTCCATCTCTCTAAACCCATCAAGGCTCAGATTTATTGTCCATTCCTCCATTACTGTTCTCTCCCCATAAGTCCTCCATCCAAATGAGTTACTTTCCCTTCGAATGCCCATTGGATCTTTCTCTTCCTGCCTGACATTACGATTCTTACTGCGAGTATCTTACCCACTTTCTGGATTATACATTGTCTGAAGACTGTTGTATGATCTCATTCACTTTTCTGTCTCCTACAGTATTTAGCAGAGTTGATTACATGTAGTCAGGACTAAATATTTGCTAATTAAAATTTAATTAAATTTACTGACTTGTGTGGTTAAGAGAATCAGCAGTCTCCTACTGCCCAAAAACTTCACAAGTGTAAATTAATATACAGCAGGACTCCTGCAAAGCAATCATTAATATCTATATGCTACATATTTGAACCATGACTATAGTTCAATTCCATGGTCTTTAAATCACATTTCATACCTCTCTAAGGTAAAGCCTATCAACAAAGTAGACATCTAAAATCTCTAAGAGACTATTAGTAATAAGATCTATCAGATCATTGAAGAAAATATGTTTTAAAAAATAGCTCAAATATTCAGAACCAATCACATCCACAATATACATGGAAGCTCATTTTAAACAAATTCTGTTTTAATTGCCATAGTGAAAATGAGTAAAAAATCAATATGGCACTATTATGATAATTGGCAGCAAGCTACTATTCAGTCGAGGCATGTAATCAACCAGTACAATGAGCTATTTTCTCTACAGACTCTTGATAATCAGTGGGGTGGTGGCACAAGGATAAAAGGACATGAGCTCTCTAAGCATAAAACACTGTATTTGATCTATCACAGAGAGAAATCAGCAGGCATCATTACAGCCGAAAATATCCTATAGCAGCCTTAAAATAACAGGAATTCTGAACAAATGTATATATACAGCCCTCAGTACGTGCTTTGGCATTTGGGAAGATGAAATAATCTATGATTTCCTTAAGTTTAACAAATTGTTTTAAGATTCTAAATTGTACTCGTTTCTTTTTACGCCTGGTGCTATTAAAATTATTAGGATTATTTCTTTCTTGGTCTAGAGAAGCGTCTGATACAAGACCGTGATTTATTTGTTCACTTGAAATCAGCCACCCATACATCCCAGACTGTTTCAAATTGTGCAGTTTATGGGACTTTGGTTTCATTCAGTGAAAATTACTCTTAGTCTGGAAAAAAAAAACAGGATACAATCATGAAACTTAAGTATGAGGAGGCAGGGCCTATTTATTACAGAGTAGGCAGGGAAAAGTCTTAACTGAGAATATATTAAGCCAATGAACAGAGGAGGCCGGGTAAGAGTCCTCAGAGCTTTTAAAGTAAAGAGAATGGGAGTCCAAAAGGAGCTTGTGGCTAGAGGGAGAAAATAATTATGATATTATAGGACGACATTCAAGAAGTTAAGAGGAAGGGACGCAGCAAGACATCTCTTTCTCCTTTTTTCTCTTGCCAAAACCGTTTCTCTTGTGTTTCAAGCATCAAACACTTTGTAGCCTCTAGCCAAATGCTTATTATTCTTTCTGTTTGTCTGTGTCTCGATAGAGAGACAGATAGACAGACAGACAGACAGATGATTTTAGCCAATACAAAAGTGGCCATGACATGATGAAGCACTTTAAAAACAAAATGTTGGCTACTATACATAGGCAGGGATTTTGATGCTGTAACACCCAAGTAAGTATAAGCTGGTGGGTCTCAAGGTGTGTGCCTCCAATTTGCAGCAACAACATCATCTGGGGACTTGTTAGAAATACAGATTCCTGGGCCTCACCCCCGATCTACTGACTCAGTGGCTGTGGGTGGAGCCTAGAAATTGGTGTATTAACTTCTCCTCCAGGTGATTCCGATGGTCGCCCAAGTTTGAGAGCCACTGGCCCAGAACAACGGTTTGCTAAGAAGTGGAGGAAGCCTTCCTAAAGCAAGACTCAGGCCCAGAACTCAAGACTGCTTTATAAACCCTCCCAACCATATGGTGCATTCCCACTGCCAAAGGACAAAGACAAGGAATCCAGTCAAAGCAAGTATATTTGGTGTATTTTAGAGTATGCAAATTCCAGCTTGGAGTTATTCAGTACTAACTGGAATATCTAGAAGTATAAATACACAGTTGATAACTCAATTTCAAATCTCACTCAGATTGGAGATAAAGACATAACTTTTCTGTAGTATCTCGACCCTGAAATAAGAAATTGCAATTTATCAAGGACCCCAAATTTAAGAGATGGAGCAACAGAAGGTAATGAAGAACCAAACAGGAGAAAAAATGGGGGAGGAGAAAGATCTCTTATCATTCCCACACCCACTCTGAAACACAGGTTTTCTTTCTTTTTACTGAAATACAGTTTACATACAGTAAATTCATCATTTTGACAAACATACAGTCATGCAACCTCTAACACAAACAAGACAGAGAACATTTCCACCACACCAAAAAATTCCTTCATTCCCCTTTGCAATAGATTCCTCTTCCCTACTTCCAGCCCCCTGGCAACCACTTATCTGATCTTTGCTCTCTATAGTTTTGCTTTTTCCAAAATGTCATTAGAAATGGAATCATACTGTATATAGGTTTTTGTGTCTGGCTTCTTTGACTTAGCATAAATATTATGATATTCAACCATTTTGTTGCATGTATCAGTAGTCCATTCTTTTTTATTATATGGATATACTACAATTTGTTTACCCATTCGTCAGTTGATGAACATCTCGGTTGTTTCCAGATTTTGATGATTATGAATAGAGCTGCTATAAACATTCACAAGTAAGTATCCATATATTTTCATTTCTCTTGGAAAAATAACTAGGGGTAGAGTTGCTGGGTTTTATGATAAATATATGTTTAACTTTTCAAAGAACTTTGCTTTCCAAGGTGGCTATACCATTTGGCATTCCTTCAGCAAAGTCTAACAGTTCTAATTGCTCAAATCCTTCAGATACTTCAGATTGTCGATCTTCTTTACTTTAGCTATTTCAAAAGCTGTTTTCAGATAAAGAAACTGAGAAGCAAAGTAGTTAAGTACCTTGCGAAACATCACTCAACAAGTAGGACACACCTGTTCTAGGACACACCCAGGTCTGACTCCAAAGCCCATGTTTATTTCAATCATGTCATTAGAAATTACTAACAGGATCAGTACATGATTTTCTATAACAACATCTGGCTGATGGTTCCAGCAATAACTCACTGAGAGAAAAATGAGTGGTTGTTCCAGAACTGCATTGAGCTTATGTCTGTCTATATATTTACGTCTAGACACACAAGTACATACTTTGTATTATTTAACAACTTCATTCATTTAGGTGTGAGAAGTACTTTTCAACCCATGTTTTTAAAATTATCTTTCAAAGTCTGAATCTGCATAAGAAACCTACAAAATATGGTTAAAGGAAGATACCTGGAGGCTCCAATTAAAACTTCTAATCAACATGCAGTTAAAAGCAGCATATCGAAAAGAACAGAGCCAGAATAGAGCTTATACTTTTGCCTTGGATGGGCCATAGTCCATAAGCTCATTTCTAGGTATTAACATATTGGTTATTTTATGTTATCAAGTTAAAGAATTATCTTGACATGCTACACATCCATGGTGATGTTTGCAACCATCATGTGACAGGGGTCCAGGTGGAACAAATGAACCACCCAAACAAAAACAATAGAAAGA